AACAAAATTATATTAAAATAAAAAATGACATTTTAAAAATCTAAATTGGAGTGATGAAGAAAAAATAAAGCAGAATAAAATAACCAATAGTCTCTGCATAGCAAAACAAGGCCCTGAAAACCAACCAATATATTTTTACAGATGTCCACCTGTAACATAAAATGACAATTCCATTTGGTCTCCTATAAATCTAAAAAAACTAGCAATATTAAAAAGAAAATATAGTGCTATTTTGTTTTCATAATTGCTACATTCATCCAGTGTTGCATAATATATAATCATATGTATCATATATAAAAGACACAATAAAAATCTAACTGTCAAGTCCAAACCCACGCTACAAAATAGATTTTGTCCATTTAAACCTAAACTAAACAGTTTTATATAATCTAGAACTCTCTAGGTGTTAAGTCAATATCTTTCAAACAGCACACGATTTGATTGTGGCTGAAGCCAGAGCACTTACCTTCAGAAATAACATTCAAGAATCTCTAAATGTCAAGTTAAACATACAAAAGAGCACACAGAGGGACATATTGAGCCCCCTGAAAATCGTAAAACAAAACACACACACACCAAAAACACCAACCTAACCAAATAAAAACTAACACATCTTTATAACACCAAAAGAATGTTTGACACATGATTTGATGAAACATTATTGAAACATCTACAGAAATTGAACCATGAAAACAACATTCAGTAAATTGAGTCATTATTTTGAGACACAAATTATATTTAAGCACTTTCAGATTGCATGACACATACATGTGTTTACTGCAATGGTGGCAATGAGGAATTCATCTTCTTGTGGCTTGTTGCAGTTGCAAGATGTGACATGCGTACGTTTTGATAAATCCCCGGGTGGCAGGATCTCAGATCACCAGATCACTCGGTCACCTGACCCAAATCATTGATTCTCATTGGGTATCGCTTACAGTCCAACAGCCGGACATAAATAATTGAGGGTCATCTCACCGTCTGCATTCAATTTATCCTTTAGAGGGACCCTTCACTGAGTTTACTGACCGGTCTCACACATGTCTGCATATTATTATATAAATAAATATACACACACACTACCATTTAAGTTTGGAATAATTTTATTTTTTATGCTTTTGAAAAAAGTCTCTTCTGCTCACCAAAAACACTCACCATCATCCAGTGCATCTAGAATGACATGAAGAAACATAAAATACTGAGACAGACTAAATCCAGAAGAATTGTGGCAACATCTCCAAGACACTTGGAGAAACCTACCTGCAAAGCTACCTGAAAAACTATGTGCAAGTGTACCAAGGACAAAAGCTGTTTTAAACACAAAGGGTGCTCACATCAAATGTTGATTTGATTTAGTTAATAGAAATTAATTGATAAATAAAATCTATTTATGACATTATTTTTTGAAAGCATCCTCACTTTACAGCATTTTTACATAAGTGCCTAAAGCTGTTCACAGTACTCTAGTTTTGTAGGTAGGTTTCTTGAAGCATCTTGGAGACTTTGCCACAGTTCTTCTGGATCTCAGTTTTTTCGGTTTCTTCACGTAATCTCAGACAGACTGGATGATGGTGAGATCAGATCTCTGTGAGGAGCACTGGCTGTTGTCAGACATACAAAATTCTCACTGGATTGTTATAATTAATTGCAAAAGGAATGTTTGGAAACGTAAACTGATATTTCCTACTGACAAACTACAGCAAAAGATAGAAATAATTTTTTGTTGGTGTAAATACTAGTGGCCTAGGACTTTTGCACAGTATGATCGATTGACAGACAGACAGACAGAAAGATAGAAAGGCAGATGGATAGATAAAAGTCTCATAGAACTTCCAGTTTGGGTTCAATAAACTGTCCATTTCAAAAGCATATCTTAAAGTTTTTCATCAAACCTTCCATCCATGTGCAGACCCCACTTCCAATATCGGTTATGGAATGGTACATGGATCTCATCACAACCTTAGCAATGAAGAACAATTGTTGTGTAGCTGTAAGAGCATTGATTGATTAAAGGGGTCATATGATGCAATTTCCAATTTTCCATTCTTTTTTGGAGTGTTACAAGCTGTTTGTGAATAGATAAGATCCCTAAAGTTGCAAAGACTAAAGTCTCAAACCCAAAGAGATGTTCTTTATAAAAGTTAAGACTTGTCCACGCCCTCCTAAAACTCCTCGTTTAAACACGCCCGCACATGTCTACGTCACTGTGGGGGAAGATTTGCATAACACCGCCCAAATGTTCATAAAGAAGGCATAACTTTGATTCTCGCTGTAGTATTGTCGCCTCCATGTCATGGAGACGCTGTGTTTCATTGTGAAAGCGAAACTACTTTGTTTGGGCTTCCAAAAGAGGACGATATAGCTCCGTCATGCCTGGAGCTGATCCGTGCTGGTCGCTGAGGAAATACATCAACTTCGCACTGTGGATCGCCGGATCGGCTTTCACCGTTGACGAAGCGGAGTCCAGCCCAAAGGCTGTTTCTATAAAGAGGGGCAGTTCCAACTTTGCAAGGACAGTCTGGATCTTCTGACTCACAGCCAGTAAGTAAGTTTTTTTATATTTAAAGAATTTGCCACTGATGATTCAAACGCGAGTTTTGAGCAGTGTAGAGTAGCGCTTGTTGTTTGTCGTTTCTCCGATCACAAATGCAGACATGGTTTTATATTTACGTGGCACGATATGCAATGCAACGCGTAAAAAGACAGTTTAAGTCATCATAATCAGTAATTATGTCCCCACTGGATGCAACAAATGCCTCGTTTATAATGGGTTTTAATGTTTTGGTCTCGTCGCTCCGGCCGGACAGGGCTTCACAGTATGGTAGGGGCGTAACATTTCCGTCACACGCTAGAGGTATTCGGCCAATCACAATGCACTGGATAGCTGGCTAATCAGCGTACACCTCGCTTTTCAGACCGATGAGCTTTGTAAAAATCGACACTTTTCAGAAAGGCGGGCATAGAGGAGAAAACATTATGTACATTATGTGAAAAATAATGTGTTTTTTTAACCTTAAACCGCATAAACACATTGCATTACACCAAATACACAACATGATGTTCTTTTTAGTAACGTCATATGACCCCTTTAATCCCGTCAATCTCTGTGATCACAGGGCCACAAATCACTATGATTGGTTAGTGTGGATATGAAGGTGTGGAATTACAGAGGGAAAGTGTATGGTTTCACAACACTGACAATAAGAAAGAGAAAGGCGGGGGCTTGGTTACAAAACACCAACAGCACTACCTACAAAAAACCTTCGGGAAATTCTTTTTAATGCCTTCGCAGTAGTTTCAATAAACTTTCTCAGTGATCAGGGAATATAGAAAAGGCAAAAATCGATAACCCAAACCCAAGAATTAAAATTTGGCATGTACTTCATCCTGCACCATTTGTGCTACAGACACAAATCATTTTGAGGTGTGCTATTACTTTCCCAAGTGATCAGACTCGATTTTCCCCTGCTGGATGATAAAATGAATAAAAAGAATATCAGACTGGACCCAAACCTGAGATAATTTCATAGAGAATGTCATACGAAATTTGTAGTGGACTCTTTTGACCCGGAAAAGGAAGCACTCACCTAGCAACCACCCAGTACAACTAAGCAACTACATACCAACACTTTGGCAAACACTCAACTCCTCTTAGCATCATAGCTGCTAGATTTGCAAGAGTACAACTCACTTTTTTTTTTCTCCAGAAAATGCAAAATCTACTTTTTGATATTGATATCATACGTGGCTCTCGGCCAAGTATTCAAATAATGCATCTCATAATCTTGTACTGCTGTTATATCTGATCAAATGCACATTATTATTCTTTAGTTTGGGTTAAACAAATAAATTTAGCTTGGTTGGAACAGCAGCTACGCTAATTATGTCTCCATTTGTTTCTCTGTTTTACACAAGCTTCAGTCTGGATCCAGAACACCTGAGAAGAGATGATGCCAACCCCTCAGAGGACCTCAGATGATGCCAACCCTGAAACAACATACAGAACTACCACATTTGGCTATAAGTTTGATTGTATCATATAATAATTGCTGTTAATAGTGTTCATTGTCTTGATTTTTCAGTACATTTCTGCCATATGTACATTGACTGACAGTCACCACTGATAAGCTACCACTAAATATTGTAGAAACTTAATTTGCTGTAAAGTTGCTTTGCAATGATTTGTATCGTGAAAAGCACTGTACAAATAAACTTGAATTGAATTGAATTAATAAAAACTTTAACAGTATTTAAATAATACTAAAATAACACTGTCCTGATATGATCCAATTCCAATATTAGATTAATGCTATAATTGAGGAGGGAAAATTATAAACTACATTTACAAAAATAAACAAACTGAAAAAAACAAAACAAAAACAAAATAGATTACATATAAACATACTATTAAAATAAAAACACTGCAAAAACTGCACTGCAAAATAAAATATAAAGAAATAAAATAATAAATGTGCTGTATATACACACACACAGACTTTCTAAACAAAGCTCTATTCCACAAAGTTAAAAATTTAGCTAAAAGGTAGAGGCTGACAGAAGCACAAGTCAGCTGCCACCTCGTCCCCGTCTCCCTCTCCCAGCATCACCACTGTTACCATGGAGAAAATCACTACCTGATTTGAGGTCATCTCAAGAGCATCTCAAGAGCATTTCTCTCCCTCTTTCTAAAATCGATTAAGTCATTTTATTACACATTTACATATTTTCCTTTCACAACACCTTGCTTCACTGCTGCAAAAAGACAGCAGGTAAACTACCACCAACAACAGCAATTAAAGTCACTCCGGCAGCACATAATAACAGCCATGCCGCTTGAATGAATCACACCTGATGTGCACACTCACATTTCCATCCCAAACATAATTACATACATGCGGCTGTGTGTACACACATTCATCCTTAGTCAAGCATGCAAACACATGCGGGTGCATTATGTAAACAGAGCCACCTGGATCAGACAGACAACATCTACTACTCACCACATACTCCATGGTGCCTTTGGGCCTCTGGAAGGATATCCTCCGCACATCTTTCCTCTCCAGCACACTCTTTTTCTGCCCGGGGTCTGAAAGTAAACGAGGGAGAGAACGGGTTATGCTAGTCATGGTCCTCCTCTCTCTTCTCATCTCCTCTGCACTCCGCTCGGTCTGTTTTTCCCCCACCCCTTGCATTGGTTCGTCCGTTAGCACCAGCCGCGGAGCGAGAGAGAAAGAGAGAGGGCGCTTGTTAGTCCGCCTGCCTGCCCTGCACACAGGGGAGTGGCTCTCGGATCTCGCTGCCGCTGCCATGCAGGTCACTGTGTGCTTGGATACACCTCTCCAGCCCACTCTACTGGGACATCAGGCTCGGCTTGTTGGTCTAAGTGTCCTGGTGACAAGAAAATGTCATTAAGCAGTGGAGATCTTTTGTGAATGGGTTTTAAATGTCATTTTTATGAGCATACTTATGTGGGGATTTACTGTATGCAGTGTGCCAGCTAATGCCATATGTGAACGTTAGCGAGTTTATAGTACAGCAGATTTGATTTTGATATTTGGACATGACAAATAAAATAAGCTACATTTGGGTGATTTATGTTGGGATGATTCAAATCTGCACTTAACATTAAAAAAAATTATGCTGTGATATTCTTTAAACTGAATTTTAATGGAAAAATCACAACATCGTGGTTCCTCATTTTTCTGTATAAGGTATTAAAATGTAAAATAATAAAATGTGCAAATGTAATAAAATGAAACAAAATTGCAGTTATATTTGGACTAGGGATATCAATATTTTAACTAAAAATCCATGAATTATTACATTACATATTGTTTAACTATATTAAACTCTGAACAAATGACAATTTTATTGTGTATAATTTCCAATCAAGCTGTAATTTGATAAAGTCTATTAAGAGAGTATATTTTCTAAAACCCCACAGGGCTGAAAGTGACCAATGTTGAAGAAATACTATACAGACACAAAGAAAACAAGGCTCATTACTTACATACTAAACATTATAGATTCTATTTCTACAGTCTTCAGTGTCACGTGATCCTTCAGAAATCATTCTAATATGATGGTGCTCAAGAAACACTTACTATTATTATTATTATTATGGTTGTTTTTATTATTATGAGTGTTGAAAACAGTTGCGCCTTCAGAAATCATTCTAATATGATGGTGCTCAAGAAACACTTACTATTATTACTATTATTATTATTATGGTTGTTTTTATTATTATGAGTGTTGAAAACAGTTGCGTTGTTTAATTTTTGTGAAAACGGTAATACTTTTTTTTTTTTTTTTTCAAGAACAGCATTTATTTGAAAAATGTTTTTTGTAACATTATGTCCATACTCCCTTTTAATTAATTGAATGCATCCTTACAGAAAAAATAAATAAATATATAACCCAACTGACCCTAAACTTTTGAACAGCAGTGTATACCAAAACCTGAATTTACAGCTGACACAAGTAGCCCACAAACACTGGCCTAAAGGAGAACTGACAGCAAATCAGTCCAGATATCCCCCATACTATCTCAGGACAACAAATCACTGCTCTCAGCCTCTTATTATCTTGGCACCTCCGGCAATGACAGGATATTTTTAGAAGCAGGTTCCCACCGGTGGCGGAAAAGGCTTGACTTGACTGATACCCATGAGCAGATGCCTTCACAGACGCTCACCGACGGGGGTGAGGGGTCTTTGGGTGAGAATGGACGTGTCCACTGTGGCACGGGCTTCCTGCAGAGTTTAGTTTCAATTCACCTCAGACAAACTAATCAGGCTCACCTGGGAAAGTATAAGGTGGCAAGGTTAGAACTAGATGTTTAGGAGCAGAATTGACTCCTGATCATCTTTAGCTGAGACCTGAATTTTCAATCCAAAGTGACCTTGAAGGAACACAAAAATCGAAAAATAATAGGCAATCTGCAAATGACAAATTCTTCGAAAGAAAATCTTCACTGCTATCACTAGTTACTATATAACTTCTGACTGGCCAGCCTCAACTGGTTCTTCGTTATTCAAAGATTAAAGGAAGCTGGAGTGCCAATTAAAGTCATTCTTCCTCAGTGTATGCCTGATGTAAAGACAGCGTACCAGGACTGTTTGAAATGCCAGCTGCACACTTCAACACAAACGAGACTCCAGGGACTCCTCTGTCAAAGTACCTGAGCTAGAGGTTGGGAGGTGCTGAGGATACAGCTTTTGCATTAAGCAAGACACATGCAGACCAATTTATTCTGTGGTGTCCCTTTTGTCCCATAAATGTCCCATCATAATGAAACTGCAAGGGCCAGCAGTTTAAGCCGAGCATTAAAGGGGCCAGATCTTGAAAAAGGGGATTTTACTTGCTCTTTTGAAATAAACGAGTTCAGTGCACCATTTGGACACTAAACTGCCTTTCAAGACCTTCTAGATGAACACTAAAGGCCGTGGCAAAGTTCTTTTTCGTTTCATTTAGATGAATATGTAAATATGTGCTGGGCACTTTCCACTCAATAACAAAACAAAAACAACAAAAATTACAGAGGTGATATGTGGATATGCTTGCATGAGCTCAGTAATTCACACTCCAGTCAAGTCGCATCATGTTTATTCATATAGCACATTATACAATGAATTGCTTTAAAGTTTCTGTAAAGCATCTTTACAGTGCTAAATATGAAAAAGAGTGTCAGTGTTGCTTTTAATTAGAATTACAACTTCAGTTTCTACTATAAAGCATCTCTCCAGTTCATTCATGTTTTCACTCATGTCTGACCTCAACGGACTGAACTGTAGAAATTAACCAGAGAAGATTTCCTCGTCAAAAGAAGGCGGAGCCTCAGACCACACCTACCTATTCCATAATTGCCACGGACCAATGGTAATTTCAAGGTGTTTACCAGCTAAAGTGAACTTTTCCAGAAATTTCGCATTTCACATTGCAACCTGCTAAATTCTTTATATAAGAAGCATGCTGGCTTGGAATTGCATGATAAAATAAGGGAATTGATGGCTTTCATTTTACCAGTATGCATCACTTCAGGCTGACAACTGTTTATCTAGAGGGAGGATATGCTCATCTTAATAAAGACCTTTACTCTTTAAGAAGGCAGAGTAAAAAAAAAAAAAAAAAGGGGGGAAACTGATTTATGTCTGCATAATATGCACTCAGGATTGCAGCATTTGTTCTCTTGCAGTGAGATTTGCCGGAGACGAAAGCAGAGAGAGAGAGGGCTTGAAAAGTGTTTAGGTCAGCTGTGAGAAACACCAACTCAGCAGTTTAACGTCTCCTCCCATCACCTGTCACATTACAGAGAAGCAGAGCAGGACTCCCAAGTCATTACATGGATTTATAATCTGCTGTCAATCAAAGTGCCTGTCACTCCCTTCACTCCCCGGCTGTGGGGTTGCACGAGTAACTCAAATTAACTCGTTCTTGAGTGGCTCTACAACTTTGAATTGCTTTAGGAGTAGAGATTGATTATTTCTGAAAAGCGACAGAGATAAATCATGAAAAAGCTTCATATATTAAGTCAAATCATCTTTGCACCTAGCGGCCTCACTTTGCTTCCACAATAAATCTGTGATACAGTATATGCCATGTAATCTGCCTGAGCTGCAAAATAACATTCAAAATGCATAGTTTAAACAGCTCGACTACACATGTAGCTACATCAACAAAACATAAAATAGTACTCCATATGAGAAGACATGCACTTTCATTTATGTTATTCTGCTTTGGACTGCTCGATTTAAGTATAACCAGGAACTTTGGAGACTTGAAACTTGATTTGACCGCTGGCATAATGCCTGGTAAACTGAAAGGTAAGCCGCAATTACCTCTATCACAAGACGACTCATCCATTGGCAAATGTGTCCATGCTTTGTTGTGTGTTTTTATTTTATATTGTTTAATAATTATAATAATAATAATAATAAACAACAACAACAACAACATTAAAACAATAATTAATACTTATTACAGAGGGGGGAAACACTATTTTAATTTACTACATTTTAATTAATCTGCATTGTTTACATTTCAATAATTTGTTACCTGTAGTGTATATAATCCAAGTTTAAAACACCCTCTGCTGGCTGATGTCAGTAGTGTCTGAAAATGCAGGTATAACTTCCCCGTTATAAAATTAAATACACACACACACACACACACACACACACACACACACATATATGAACCATTATTTTTGTGTAATGTTGACTTACAGGCACTGGTCAAGCTTTCACAATATCATCCAGAAAGAAAACAAATAAATGCCATATTTTATATGACATTTACTGTAGATCGAGTATGGGGAAGTAACACTTGCAATTTCCATCCGGTCTATTTTGTTTTTCTATAGGAGTTCTGGATCTATTGCACTTTACTTGAGAAGATTAGTTTTTGAGAGTGTGTATGTGTGCGTGTTTGTGAGGGAATCACATACAAGGCAATTCTGAGTGGTGCGGTTCAATCTCCAATACACGCACACAGCTATAAAAGGCTTTAAATGCCAAGAATGCCGCAATGTGCTTTTTCTTTAACCCCTGATGGATCTGAAAAAAAGACAGATAGCTTCCAGGACAACAAATATACTGTTTGCTTCATGTTAATGGAACAACCAGATCCATTAGATGCAGGAGCAACATTTAAGAACATGTACAAATTTGTAAAGCCTCTGTGTCCCATATCTAAGTTACACTGATAAAGCGTTTATAAAAAGCAGTTATATACACTCAGATGTGATACTGCTTAGGACGGCGAACAAATCACCATGATTAACAGCCTAATTAGTTTGACTTACGGCATCTAGTAAACTAGACCGGCAGAGATCTGATCAAAGGGCTTTGATTAAAACATTCTCAACACAGAGTTAATTGGGAGAGACACCCGATCATCAGTCCCACGAGACTGAACAGAAACCTCAGGCTGGTGTCGACCCTGCCCTGTAGGTAACAATGAGAAACATTAGCCGTAATGGAAGCAATGCTGGGATGTCACAAAATACCTCCAGTATCTGTCCTTTGGGGAAAATCTTGCTGAAGTAATTACTGCATGCTCACAAGGTTAACCAAGCTTATGTTGAGGCTGTCTGGGTATGAAACAACACAAAATGCACGTTTATGTGCTCACCTGAGGGTAAGAGTGCATTTATTCACCTAAAATGCTCCTAAAATGGGCTTTTTGAGGAAGTTTGATGAATCATGGCTATTTGTAGTCGCGCTCAAGAGATCAGAAGCTGTTTGCAAAAAGAGCAAGACTAGTGGAAATTCATTATTGTAGATGTTCTTGGTATTTCGGTGCATTATTTATGGCGAACAACCGTGCAAAAAATATTGTTCTGCTAGCAACTTTCAAACTGTTTGGTCTAGAAAGTCCTCTGAGCTTCACATGACCCAGGGAACCAAAAACATGGTGGTTTTAATTTGGAGCCCAACTAGATTGTCCACCATTTTGGAATTTAAAACTGTATTGTTTTCTTTAGACCACTCACCACATTTCATTTTTAAGAATTTCTCATTATTACACCCAAATTAAACTGATGAAAACGCAAAACTAGAAGTGAGACCGCAAATTGCCAAATGTTAAAACAAAATTCATTTTTTTTGCCATTGACCACAAAGATTCCAAATAAAAAAATGAGGCTATAAAATTAGAGAACAAATTAGAAGTGATAATGCCAAAGAACTACCCAGATTTTACACTTCTCCTCAAAAGTTTAGGGTCAGTAAGACTTCCTTGAAAGAAATAACACTTTTATTCAGCAAGGATACACTAAATTGATCAAAAGGGTCAGTAAAGACATTTATAATGTTACAAATAGCTATGATTTCACATAAATCCTGTTCTTTTGACCTTTTTATTTATCGAAGAATCCTGAAACAAACAAATGTATCATGGTTTCCACAAAAAGACTAAGAAACTGTTTTCAACACTGATAATAAGAAGAAATGTTAAGCAGCAAACCAGCATATTAGAATGATTTCTGAAGGATCATGTGACACTGAAGACTGGAGTAATGATGCTGAAAATTCAGCTTTGCATCACATGAATAAATTACTATTTAAATTATATTAATACAGAAATCATTTTTTATTGTACATTTTCACAATATTACTGTTTTTGCTGTATTTTGAACAAATAAATGCAATAAATAGGCCTGTCACGATAATAACTTTTTGTTGTGCAATATAATGCCCCAGAAATAATTGCGATACGCGATATTATTGTCATTTTAAAGATCATTTTTATGCCACTGAATATATAATCATAATGTAACCGCATAATAATGCGCAAAAAGAGCAAGACTAGTGGAAATTCATTATTGTAGATGTTCTTGGTATTTCGGTGCATTATTTATGGCGAACAACCGTGCAAAAAATATTGTTCTGCTAGCAACTTTCAAACTGTTTGGTCTAGAAAGTCCTCTGAGCTTCACATGACCCAGGGAACCAAAAACATGGTGGTTTTAATTTGGAGCCCAACTAGATTGTCCACCATTTTGGAATTTAAAACTGTATTGTTTTCTTTAGACCACTCACCACATTTCATTTTTAAGAATTTCTCATTATTACACCCAAATTAAACTGATGAAAACGCAAAACTAGAAGTGAGACCGCAAATTGCCAAATGTTAAAACAAAATTCATTTTTTTTGCCATTGACCACAAAGATTCCAAATAAAAAAATGAGGCTATAAAATTAGAGAACAAATTAGAAGTGATAATGCCAAAGAACTACCCAGATTTTACACTTCTCCTCAAAAGTTTAGGGTCAGTAAGACTTCCTTGAAAGAAATAACACTTTTATTCAGCAAGGATACACTAAATTGATCAAAAGGGTCAGTAAAGACATTTATAATGTTACAAATAGCTATGATTTCACATAAATCCTGTTCTTTTGACCTTTTTATTTATCGAAGAATCCTGAAACAAACAAATGTATCATGGTTTCCACAAAAAGACTAAGAAACTGTTTTCAACACTGATAATAAGAAGAAATGTTAAGCAGCAAACCAGCATATTAGAATGATTTCTGAAGGATCATGTGACACTGAAGACTGGAGTAATGATGCTGAAAATTCAGCTTTGCATCACATGAATAAATTACTATTTAAATTATATTAATACAGAAATCATTTTTTATTGTACATTTTCACAATATTACTGTTTTTGCTGTATTTTGAACAAATAAATGCAATAAATAGGCCTGTCACGATAATAACTTTTTGTTGTGCAATATAATGCCCCAGAAATAATTGCGATACGCGATATTATTGTCATTTTAAAGATCATTTTTATGCCACTGAATATATAATCATAATGTAACCGCATAATAATGCAAGAAGGCCAACACACTTCCAAATGACAACAAACTTTAAATTAAGAATATTTAGATCATGGAAATTAAGTATCAAAATATTAGATACCTTAAAAAACTTTAATAAATAGTAAATACATATTTTCTTACAAAAAGTGCAAAGTAACAAGTAGAAAAAAAGAAAAATGCACAAATAACTTGTATGGAGATTTTTCCATCTACAGATTTTTCCGACCTTCTTTTCTCTGTAAATTAATGGTGCACACTATTGCTGAAAAACACAATCACTACTTAGCAGTTAGATGTCTGTATGCACAAAACGCACAAATCCCTAAACAAGGCCATATCTGCAGATTAAACTTTTTGTAGAAGCATTTTTTTTATTTGAACTAGCACCTCATGACTACACCATGTTATGTACGAGAAGCTGCAAAAGACACAGGCACAAGTGGAATGTACAAAACATGGTGACATTAATTTTTAAGTAAATATAATAGGCAATCTATTGCGTCATCAAAAATTATCGAGGTCATGTACATATATTGCGCGATAAGTCGATATATTGATTATTGCGACAAGCCTAGCAATAAATGTAGTCCTAGTGAGTATAAGAGACTTTCAAAAATATTAAAGAATCTTACTGACCCCAAACTTTTGAATGGTAGGTTATATCTTTCAAAAAGATTAAAAGACTGAGTATAACCCCTTTGAAATGGCCAGATTCATCAAGATGGTACAGTCAGGGTAAAAGTGTGTTCATTATGGTTACTGTAAGAATTCTCTGTCTGAGACTACAGCACCTCCTGCAACTTAAAAGTAATTACTGTGTGTGTGTGTGTGTGTGTGTGTGCATACGTGTGTGAGGAGGTCCACAGAGGGATGAGATCCTCTTTTCTCCTCCAATTACAGTCTCAAAGGTATCCATTTTCCTCTTACCACAGGGCCAGACAGCCAGTTCCTGTGCCAACACTAGATTAAGCATAACTAATAAGTCTCACTGGACTATTCCTTTCCATTGTAAGACAATGTTAATGTTGCAGTGTTCGATTTGGACTAGATGGGGATCTTCCTCTAAGATGCTTTCTAATGCAGCATAGCACATTCAGTAAGTAATTCTACACCATAAAATCATTAAATATTTATAATTAGATGAAAACAAAAAACAAATACGTTGTGTGATTAATACTGAAATAATAAATAATAACCTAAGATAGGCTGTTTTGCTCAGGAAGCCACAGGAAACGCAAATCTGTTCCTAAAGAACAGACTGAAACATAACAAAACTGGCAGAAAGGTTAGTGAAGAAGACCTCACACACCTATGGTATACCCTCGCTTGAGCTCTCCACGACGGGGACTACGAGCCTTTTGGATGTTAGTGGTATTGATCCCCTTTTCTTCCCTTATGGCTGTTCTAGCCACATTCTGTATGAGGGGCGACGCCAGCAGGTCTTTGACGAGAGAACCAGCATAACCCTCATCAGGGATGTCTACTGACTGGGACTTTTTCTTCAACCTAGAATAAAGGAAGGAAAACAAATATGCACTCAATTTAAAAGACAATTTCTGCAATACATTTTTTTATTCAAATTTTATAAATACATTTTAAAATAAATCAAATTTGATTGATTGATCACAAACACTACCATTCACTACCTTTTTTTATTTTTATTTTTTTAATAAATTAATACTTTTATTCAGCTAGGATGCATTACATTGATCAAAACAAGTGACAGTAAAGAGTGCAGTAAAGGAGGAAGCCGAAGACCACTGGCTACAGACAGCATAAGTGATGGAGACAGACATGCAGCCCTGTCCAGATGAACAATTAAAAAAATTATTGAAATTTTAAAGTAGAAAAACTGAAATGGTATTCTTTTGTAAAAAGTAGGCCTACTTCAATAATCTTTGTTTAGGGTCTCATTCATGAAACAAATCTGAGCAAATTCCTTGAAAAACACTTCTTGCATGTAAACTGTTGCATTGATCGAATTCACAAGGTTTTTTTTAGTGATATTCACACGTATTTGTCCTGCAAATGTAACCCAACGTGAGGAGATTTTGGTTTGCATTGATTATTTAAAAGCACACACTCTTAATGCCAACAGCCAAGTATTACCACAGCAAGGGTAATTTAGCTGATTAAAATGTTTAATCATGGAGGGGTGACCACTCATCTTCATAACATCAAAAACACTGTACAGTCAAAAGAAAATCCACTAGATACAAGCTTTCCATTTAGTGCCATTTTACACTATGAACCCACTGAAAGAATCTCCATTTAGATATGATGTATTGCTACAAATCACACTAAAGCCTTGAACATAGTTACGCTTTTGACACTAGGTTAACAAGAAAATGTCGCATTATTTATGCAATATTTTATTTATTTGTAAGACTTTTTTATGACTAAATTTGGTAATGGGAGAGTAAAATTATTTTTAAAACGTACACCGTTCAAACTAGGCTGCTTATGTTGAAGTGTTTGGGATGTGGCTTTTAATGATGAGACCTTTTTTGTAATCAGGCTCTCAAAAAGTATATAAAAATTTGGATATAGATTTATCGGCCAACATATCGGTTATCGGCTTTCAAAAATAAAGAATTATCGGTTATCGGTATCAGCCAAAATTTTCATATCGGTGCATCCCTAAAATAAATCATAAAACGCATATTAAGCTCATTGAATAAAACAGTGTAGGTTGTAAGTGATATCAAGTTTGAATGTTGGGTTCACTTGACAATTTTTTATCGGATTTTAAGTATTTGAAAATGCTTCAACAACGAAACGAGTCAAAGATTTTGCTCTCTTCAAAAAAAAAAGAAAAAAGAACACTGTTAAGTGACAAAAAGATTAATGCATTAAAATGTGTAAAACTACCAGTTATCATTCATAATACTTCTGCATCAGCAGCATGGAACGTTTAGCAAGGGGAAAGAGAGTATTAACGGAGATTATGACATAAATGGATTTCCATGACTTGTTCTGTCATTTGAGATTGAAACTATTTTTCACAATTTTAAGTCAATTGCATCCACTAAAAACTTGAGGTGAAGTCACAATTTTTTTAATTTCCTAACATTTCCCAGCTTATCCATGATCATAAGAATGCTGTTACTTGTGAGACTAATGCAATTTCTGTTTTTATTATTATTATTTTATTTCACTATTCATCACAAAGTAACAAGTAAACATAATCATACACAACGAAAAAACTGGTGTAAAAACTCAGAAATTGCTAGTAAATTAAAAAATTATTGAAATTTTAAAGTAGAAAAACTGAAATGGTATTCTTTTGTAAAAAGTAGGCCTACTTCAATAATCTTTGTTTAGGGTCTCATTCATGAAACAAATCTGAGCAAATTCCTTGAAAAACACTTCTTGCATGTAAACTGTTGCATTGATCGAATTCACAAGGTTTTTTTTTTAGTGATATTCACATGTATTTGTCCTGCAAATGTAACCCAACGTGAGGAGATTTTGGTTTGCATTGATTTAAAAGCACACACTCTTAATGCCAACAGCCAAGTATTACCACAGCAAGGGTAATTTAGCTGATTAAAATGTTTAATCATGGAGGGGTGACCACTCATCTTCATAACATCAAAAACGCTGTACAGTCAAAAGAAAATCCACTAGATACAAGCTTTCCATTTAGTGCCATTTTACACTATGAACCCACTGAAAGAATCTCCATTTAGATATGTATTGCTACAAATCACACGAAAGCCTTGAACATAGTTACGCTTTTGACACTAGGTTAACAAGAAAATGTCTAAATAAATCATAAAACGCATATTAAGCTCATTGAATAAAACAGTGTAGGTTGTAAGTGATATCAAGTTTGAATGTTGGGTTCACTTGACAATTTTTTTTAAGTATTTGAAAATGCTTCAACAACGAAACGAGTCAAAGATTTTGCTCTCTTCAAAAAAAAAAGAAAAAAAGAACACTGTTAAGTGACAAAAAGATTAATGCATTAAAATGTGTAAAACTACCAGTTGTCATTCATAATACTTCTGCATCAGCAGCATGGAACGTTTAGCAAGGGGAAAGAGAGTATTAACGGAGATTATGACATCTTTTAAGCTGCTCAAACTCCTGCTGACAAAAACTCCTTAAATATTACATAACAGCAGCAGGTGGTAGATCGATACCCTATGGGAGCTGATCTTATTAGACAGTAAAATATTAACTAACCTTAATCTGAGTATTACTATTCTGATTTATATATTACCTAAATGTCTTCTTGTTATATTTTCAGGCAAATGCAAGTAGAAGTTGAGAGCCTATTAAGGCATATTAAGATTTTTTAAATTTTCCCCATTCAAAAAATTTAAGAGACTTACACGCAAACGTAAGGTCTCTGCATAGCAACATCACCAATGCAATACAATGTCAACAAAAGACGACAGATGCAAAGTATTTTAGTAATAAAATTGTTAAATCCAGCAGTGAGCTTGTTATTGCACAGACCTATGATGATAATATGAGCAATATTAAATATTCACATTCTGCGCCTTTGTCAAACAGTTTCTGACATCAAAGTCTGGAACTGGGTCATTGCTGAATATGTTGTACAAAAACAAACACTAACAAGAAAAAAAGACTACTGGGGAAACGTCTGTTTCACAAAGCCAAGGTGGAAAAGCACAAATAAATGCTAAAATAGCAGAAGAAATAAAGATTTCTGGAACAAACTGTTTATTAGGGATGCACCGATATGAAAATTTTGGCCGATACCGATAACCGATTATTCTTTATTTTTGAAAGCCGATAACCGATCGGTAAACTGAAGTGCTCTTTTAACTTAACCAAACGCATTCTATATGAGATAAATCAGATATACATCAAATAAACACAATATTACAATGTACAATTGCACAAAAGGCTGCAAACGAACAGCGCGCATCTGAAGTGTCTCTGAAGGAAATAATGCATTATTTATCGGCTTTAAGATATCGGCCAAATTTTCTTATCAGGCCGATACCGATAACAGAAAAAATTAGCATTTATCGGCCGATACCGATATGGTGGCCGATATATCGTGCATCCCTACTGTTTATGCAGCAAATTCATTTGCATGACTTTTGCATATTTTTTAAATTAAAAATAAAATGTAATTTGAGAAGCAAAACCAACTTTAAAATACTTCTTAAAAGGATTTCTATTTTAGTTTTATTTATATTTTGGCCCACAATTTGTATCAATCACTCGTAATAAAATCTCATCCTAATGCTAATTAAAAATATTTAATTATTCAGTAATATTTAAATACCATCAGACGAAAAGCAGACCTCAAAATATGCAGAATTTAACAAGGCAAGCAGAAAGACATTCAACATTTCTATTAAAAGCCAGCAGAGACACTCTGTTAGATAGAAACCAATACATTTTGCTGAGAGGTTGTTCTGTCCAACCGTTCAAACAGAATTCAGATTACTATAAATGTGCCCTTCAAAAACATCCTTTTTGGAGTGTATTCAAATGAGTGGTATTTCTCTGGAGCTTTGGATGCAATATTAAATAATTTCATATGCTGCAATCAAATACATATTATTTGCATACGTTTCTCAGCAATGCCAAGCTAATTTCAATATGACTATAAATTGCACTTTCATCTGAGGTTTTTCTCCCCCCTCATCACTCTCAAAACATCAGCCAAGGTCTCCAAGCTTATTACGCAAGCACTTGAGTTTCTAGTACAGGCTGCATAATCCACTCTAAGAAAAGTACTTTGTGTTCCTTCATGCTCTCATAGGTAGACACTCTTGTTATTGCAAAGTTTCCTGCCTTTCTGCAAAAGACAGACAAGTCAAACTAAATTAAGCAAGGTGGGAGATAGTTTAACTCTACAGATGACTATCTTGGAGAACGAATCAGTCCAGAAATAAAAAGATTTGTTACCAATTAAGGAAGGCCTAAAGGCAAGTTCTCAGTTACATCCATTTTTCTTAGTTACACTGGTGACACTAAGGAAATTAAAGTTACCTATACACACATTTCAATGCGATATTTTAAGAACCTCAGGGTCTTCGTCCACTTTACTGATCTTTTGCTCAAGGAAAGCATGTCTTCCTTTTTCAGGAGGTCTTAAAAACGTTCTCTAGGAAGAGCAGTGAGTGAGTTACACACATCTACAGAACAGTCACTCTGAATTAGCAGAGTGCTCATTGTTTGTGCGGTTTAAGTGCTGTGGTTAGGGGTCTCTCTCTGCACAGCCACAAACTGTGTGCATGGGTGATTATGTTTATAGGATATGCACTATATAGGGCTTCACATCAAAAACATGCCCTATACTATTGCCTTCCAAAAATACTATTTTTTTTTTTTGTCCTCTTGCATAATTCAGATGGGACTGCATGTTTCATTAATCCCACAACAAATGTTTTTCATCTTAAAACACTGTATCTGTGGAGAACGCCAATCACTCCAACTGGTTATAGTCTTTGCTATAAAACTTACTGTTCAAGCCTCTACAGAGCCTCTTATTCTCACCAATAAATGTATGATAATATCCAAAATACAGTAAAAAAAAAAAAGTAATATTGTGAAATCTTTTTTTTTTATTAAAACAAAGTTTTAGTTACTTTAAAATAAAAAGTTAAATTAAATAAAAATTAGACATGTTGCTTTGGCAACTAGCTAAAATAAAATAAAGCATTTGCTTTTTAAATTTTATTTCAAGTAACAATTTTTTTAATAGTTTTAGTTAACAATAATAACCCTGGAAACAACACTTGCTGGATTCAAACCTGCATCCCGATGGGAGCACCATGACACTATGTACCTTTTTAAAATTATATTTTTGGCAATTTTGTATAGAAACCACAGGAAATGATCAGGTAAGACCAGATCAAGATGCGAGCCAGACTCAAACTAGTGTCGCCCACATGAGCACCTCAGCTATATGGCAACAGCTCATTAAATAATAACTCCTTAACTTATTTAAATAAAAAAACAGATGTTGTTAGGATGTGCTCTTTAATATTAGCATTACTAAATTAAATACTCAATCCTTAGCATGTTTTCCGTTTCTAACAGTTGTTTTTCCCCTGAACTAAACACCCGTAACCAAATATTGAAGTAACAGATGGTTTTGTTCTGTTCTAAACAGACAGTATGTCTTCAGTTAATCAGGTAAAGCTGAAACCTCTCTCAGTTTTATTTAGATTAGCTAAACCTGCAATCTGCACTGCAATCCTTGTTCACCTGCACCAAGAAAGCTGTAAACCAATACCTTTCTTTTCTAGTCTTACGTCATGTATTTGCGTAGTTACTCCATTAGCCGGGACAAATTATTCTTGTCAAATCAAATCACCCTTTTGAGTTTTTAATGTGATCAACAGGAAGCTATAAAAATGAATTATATATATTTTTCCAAGCAATTCATCACAGTTTCTTGCAGAGATAACAGCTGCAGTACTGCTGCAGGTAAAAATAACACTAAACCTCAAAGGACCTTGACTCCCTTCCAAACATCCTGAAACGCTGCTGAAAAAGGCATGAATGCATTCTGACTGGCACAAAGGAAGAAATAACGAACAATATATAAATAAAACAGGCCATTTAACAATCCCAAAAAGCAGTCATCAATAAAACAGAAATGGAGTCGGCCCTCTTTAATGCAATTGGGTTGACCATTAGAGCACGTCTGGAAGCCTTGAGAAGAATATTTCATCCTCAGAATACAGGAATGGAAAGCGCATATGGAGGAATCTAGATTACGGAATCCATCAAGTGGGATGACAGCTGTGCGGTGGGGGGGGAGAGGTTTGTTTTAGGGGTTAAAGAGGATTATGTAATCCTCTTGAGACGTTTACGCTTGAACCTCCTAAAGATGCATCACAGAGCTAAAGCAAAAATTCAAGAGCCCTACTTATGTTTCAGCAATACCTCATGATCAGCCTGCATTTGTTAGAATCCAGGGTTACTTTCACCTGGGGTCTATGCCATTTTAATGATAATGTCCTCTTATCTCTTGTGGGTTGATTCTCATCACAAAGTTCACTTTTAGAAAACTCACCGACCTGCTCTGCCTCGCACTTCACCATCTCTTAGCGCAATCTACTTTAGTGTGTGCCTGTGTGACTTCATTTACAATTCTTAAACATCAAATCAAGCAGTCATATTAATTCATGTTCACTTGATTATTTTATAATGCATATGTTATGAATCGATAATGTCCTCTTATCTCTTGTGGGTTGATTCTCATCACAAAGTTCACTTTTAGAAAACTCACCGACCTGCTCTGCCTCGCACTTCACCATCTCTTAGCGCAATCTACTTTAGTGTGTGCCTGTGTGACTTCATTTACAATTCTTAAACATCAAATCAAGCAGTCATTAATTCATGTTCACTTGATTATTTTATAATGCATATGTTATGAATGCAAGTTAAACAAGTATTTATATTGTTATTTTTGGTCCATACATCAAATAGAAAGACCACTAGCCATTGTAAACAAATGACCATTGTTGCCACTTTTCTATACAATAAACATGATTGTTTAAATGTGTGCAAACGAGTTTTACAAAATCATCTTTATTTTTGTATGTAATTTCAAACACATTAGACTCTGTGTCCACCAAAGCATTTGTAGCCAGCTGAAAACGCCCAGCCATGGGCTCTTGAGAGTGTTTTAAATGTGCAGTGTTTAGCTAGACCCGATAACAATGAATGAAATGTCCAATATTTTTCATATTAATGTTGTAGTCTGGAGACGTCATCTGGTACAGAAGACCAGCAATATTTCCTTCTCCACTGTTGTTCAGTCATTGTATAAGCAGAATGTGACAGTTGGTGATATTAGTCCCTCCTTCACTGTGATTGGATGGCTGGGTAAAAAGTGACATTGATGAACGCTGCTCATTTGGAGACCAGAAAAAAAAAATGGCAAGCTCTCTGGCAAGTCACACGGCTAGCATTTTAAAATATGTGGCGCTCCCATTCAAAACAATTGAAAAAATATGCTTGCAGCAGGAAAAAAAAAAATATTCAGGTGGACATACTGCCTTTTTCCTCTTTGGCATTTGCATACAAATCAGCCTGCAAATGCATGATGCTTCTTTGTACCCAATAAATCACAGAACTAGTTTTCTAAAATAAACAAGTGGTTGGCAAGTTGTTGTTATGCAGCTGCTAATGTGTTCCGTGTGTTTTAGCATGTTGCTATGCAGTTACTAGTGTTACCTTCTGTTAACTTCTTCATCCAAATCTATGGGCTCTTTGCCTATTTTAGGCAAAACTCATAAATTTGATTGCAACAAAGTAATATACACCTCTCAATAAATTGCACACTTTGAGGTTTCATTCATGTGCATAGTCACACACTAATGTGATACTTAGGTTTAAGGCTCGTTCACACAAAGAATGATTACAGACAACTATTACATTTACATTTAATCATGTAGCAGACGCTTTTATCCAAAGCGACTTACAAATGAGAACAATAGAAGCAATCAGACCAATAAGAGAGCAACAGTATACAAGTGATGTGACAAGTCTCAGTTAGCACAGTACACATAGCAAGCTTGTCGTTTTCTTTTCTTTTTTTACAATAACTATTAGTTCCATTACAATAACTATATTAGCACGATAATGTTCTGTTTATTTTAAGCATGAGCTGCAGTTTTGGTGTCTGCCACTTTAAATGCTCAAGCGCTTTAAAAGTCAGGATGGACTCTGATTGGCTGTCAATGGTTTTATCATTCATCAGCTAAATAAAATAATTGACATTGACATTGTTCCTCTGTGCTATTATTGTTACATTTGTAGTATGAACTTCCATATTCTCATAAAATTAGAATGATTATTAAAACTTTATATTTATTGCCCTTGGAGTGAACAGGCCTTTAGTGTTTTGAAGATACATTTAACTCTATACATACATAATAGTCATGTATGCTTGACCCAAAAAACAGCACTGATAACAAAGATAAACAAAAACAATGCATGTAAAAACATTGTAAACCACTGACCTCTTTGTGCTGAACATTCTGGGTCCTTGTTATCCTGTGTTGGATAGGTGACACAATGACAGCGATAGGCCAGCTCTATGGAGTGGACCTGTAGGTGGAGAGTATGGTTACAGGGTGAGGTTCAATCACCATCTCATGGTATCAGGTTTAAAAAAAATCCAAGAACCAATAACCTCATCTCTGTAAGGAGATTTGACCTGTATGGCTGAGAAAATTACAGCTGACCGTCACAATCCAACAGCCTTGAGCAAAATCTGAGAGAGCTCGGTACTTTCGTCAACAGACAATGTTTGTTTTCTGTCCACTATAATTCCCAACCAGATGGTGTTTACCAAGGAATTAGCTGGTAGATTTCTTGTCTACAGTCTAAGGTTATATAATTTAACCAAAGTGCAAAAGACGACATGTAAATTAATATTCACTCTTACAAACAAAGGTTCCAAAAGGGGGGTTTTGCAGAAATGCCATAGAAGAACCATTTTTGGTTCCCCAAAACAACCTTTCTGTGAACAGTTCTTAAAAAGGGGTCATATGATGCGATTTCAATTTTTCCTTTCTCTTTGGAGTGTTACAAGCTCTTGGTGCATAAAGAAGATCTATAAAGTTGCAAAGACTAAAGTCTCAAATCCAAAGAGATATTCTTTATAAAAGTTCAGAGTCAGCCACGCCTACCTAAAACGGCTCGTTCTAACACGCCCCCACATGTCTACGTCATGATGTGGGAAGATTTGCATAACGCCGCCTAAATGTTCATGCAAAGAAAGAAGGCGTAACTTTTATTCTCGCTGTAGTATTGTTGTTGCTGCCGCCGCCATGTCGTGAAGGCGCTGTGTTTCGTTGTGAAAGTGAAACTACTTTGTTTGATCTTCCAAAAGAGGATGATATCCACTTCGTCATGCCTGGAGCTGATCCGTGCTGGTCACTGAGGAAATACATCAACTTCATGCTGTGGATCGCCGGATCGGCTTTCACCATGGACAAAGCGGAGTCCAGCCCAGGGTCGTCACATGTGGTTGCCACAAGCCCCCCGGCCGTTCCTTCGTCGAATCCGCCGGCCACGCCGTTCTCAAGCCCGCCCGCCGCCACTCACTTGTTGTGAAAGCGAAACTACTTTGTTTGGCCTTCCAAAAGAGGACACGACTAGAAATCAGTGGTTAAGTTGCATTTACAACACTGTTCCAGAACAGTTCAACCCAAATATTCAGATGTGTCCAGCACATTTTATGGAGGACTGTTTCCTGATCCTGGTAGAGTAGACTACAATGCCACTGATTTGCTACTGATGATTCAAACGCGAGTTTTGGGCAGTGTAGAGTAGAGCTTGTTGTTTGTCATTTCTCCAATCACAAATGCAGACATGGTTTTATGTTTACACGGCACGATGCAACGCAACATGTAAAAAGACAAATCATTATAACCCGTAATTATGTCCCCACTGGATGCAACAAATGCCTCGTTTATAATGTTTTTGTCTCTTCGCTCCGGCCGGGACACGGCATCACAGTATGGTAAGGGGCGTAACATTTCCGTCACACGCTTGAGGTATTCAGCCAATCACAACGCACTGGATAGCTGGCCAATCAGAGCACACCTCGCTTTTCAGATCGCTGAGCTTTGTAAAAATCGCCGCGTTTCAGAAAGGCGGGGCATAGAGGAGAAACAATAATGTACAGTATGTGGAAAATGTGTTTTTTGAATCTTAAACCGCATAAACTCATTTCATTACACCAAATACACAAAATAATGTTCTTTTTAGCAACATCATGACCCCTTTAAAATAACCATTTTTGTCTTGATGTAAAGAACATTTTAACAAACTTTTTAACAAAATGTTCCACTATAGATAACCTTTTGTGCAATGGAAAGTTTCCATGTATGTTAAACGTTCCTAATGAAACCATTGATATAGAACCTTTATTTTGAGAGTGTTGTCCACTTTGGCTGATAACATTAGAGCCAACTTTGTGCTAACTCAATTATACTTTCAATAAGAAACCAAGAATCAGCTTTAATAGACCTGCCCTGAAGGCTATTAAAATGCTAATTCCTATAAGTCCTGTTTTTCATCTCTCTCTCTCTCTCTCTATTTAAATGCATGGCAATGAATATATTAATATTATTCAAATATTTGCAGACAGCTGCCATAGCACAGGTCTCATTTCAAAACCAGCAAAGCCGTGCATTAGCAAGGGTCTCAAAACTTATTGTGATTGTCAAAAGCTTTGTTAGCTAATGAGATCAGTGGTGAGATAAGACATATGTCAACCAGGGCTGCCCGTCCAAGCAGAGTGCATCAATAATGTACAAATACGGCCTGTGTAAGACGTAGGCTGGTAAACCCTCTGCTATTAGCCTAACCGTCAGCCTTCCTCAACCACAAAGCATCGGTAAAAATCATTGGTATATCCAAGATTTTAATACATCAAGCTAAAGGAAAAGCATTTAATCTCTGGGATGGGATATTGGGAAAGCATGAAAGCAGCAGTCTGTACACAATAAACAGCAGGATTAGAATGGATTCTGGTCTTAATATTGATGAAAAGAAATGGGGACACTAACTGAAGACGATAATGGATAACTTTATGAATGGAAATGGATTTTCCTTAATTGAGGATGACCTTCTGGCCATCTGGTTTCATTACAGTAAGGCACTGCACGAAATGACAACGGTAATTGTTCCGCCTAGGATAAAAACAGAACCAGTGCACTATAATCAAATAGTCCATAACCATGACTAAACGCTGAGGATTTCAGGCTGATGCAAATAAAATAAATTCACTGTATTACCCTGCATGCATGAAGTCCATTATAATTTGATTTCTGTCGAGATGCTTTATAGCTGAATCAAATTTGTTGCAAAATTGATGAACTTTGCAACACTGACACAATCATTGAACTGAATTGTATCAGCATCGGACTCAATTGAGCTTAAATACACAACTGTCTTCTGTAGAGCTGCTTTATAGCTCAATTTAATTTGTTTCATAATTGATCAACTTTGCGATACCGAGACTGTTATTGAACAAAACTGAATAAACACTGAAATAAATTGAGCTGAATAATGACAACTGTATTTTGTAGAGATGCTTTACAGCTGAAATTGAAGTGATTTCATAAGTGATGAATTTTGTAACGGTGTTATTTTACTGTTCATTTCTGTGAAGCTGCTTGGATGACTGTATAAATAAATGTGACTAGACAAGGTATAAATACAAAGTACACACCTTTGCATTGGACTAATCTCTAGTCACTAATGAGTCTCATTAATAAGCATCTGGTCCATATATTACACAACAGCAGGGACATACCAAAGTGCAGCACGCTAAATTGGAGGGGACGTGGCCTATGGGAGAGAATAACAAACAGTCGTTACTTACAGATGCTGGATGAAGCCAATTACTCCATGTATGGCAATTTCCATAACTAATGAATTTTAAAAAATATATCAAGAAAACTGCAAAAGACATAGGTCAAAAATCATTATTTTTCTTCTTATCCACAGCACAGTTTAGACAAAGGTGGATTAAAAACAAATCTCTCTTTGTTCAATTATATAAGACAGCAGTATCAATACTTATTATAGAAATATATGCAAACTCACAATATAGTTTATGGATTATCTGCTAGCAGACTTCAAGTCTTTTCGCTGCACCAATATAACACAGGGAAGAGTGGGATAAACTGTGCCACTTTAACTTAAATTTCCCTCTAGGTGCGAATAAATGATATTGAGGTAAACTAGCATGTGACATTAAAAGAATTTATAATAACATTTCTAGGAACCATAATAATTAAGCATCTGACACAATGAAAAATGCTTAGTTTAATCATTTAAATATTAAAGAATTTTTATGGTTCTGTTTTGATAGACTGATAATTCACCAACATGTATGAAAAATATTTTAAGATCCGAATACTTTAGAGGTGACATAAAATTCATGTAGAAATTTTACTTTGACATGTTAAAAAAGATTTTTATCATAAAAATGATTTTTACTTTCCTAATGCGCATGTATCAAATCACATGCAGGTGTATATGATGGCCACTTTCTAAATACACATGGCGAAAAAAAACCCACAATAATACGTTTGCTAGACTAAATGGACAAAACTCAAACTTTTCTGATTATATATGTATATATATATATATATATATATATATATATATATATATATGTTATGTTTTACATTTTATTTAAATTCTATGGATAATTCTATGGAATATTTCCACAAATCTCCAGTCTACAATAGCGACTGATTTCAGCACTGGACAGCGACAAAGATCCACAATACACAACAGCCAGGATACATTTACCTAGACAACAATTATATCCATCCACAAATCCCATGAATTTCTTCCTCAGGCTTTTATAGACGCTTTTAACAGATGTTTGAAAAATCTAAAGCATCTGGTCTACATTAAAATCTACTATGTCATCCTAAGAGACAAACATGATTCACTAAAAGCTCTTGCTGGAAAACACGACGGCATTATTGAAGTGCAGCAGCCATGACCATGGAAGCACAATAAGTATCTTTATGTAATGAGGCTAATCTACAGCAAAACATGCACCCAGCACTCATCCACAGATTGATATTACAGTGCCACTTCAGTTTGTGAGTGCATAGCCTCTGCTCTGTGCAGACTGCTCTCCAGTCATTTCAGTGGCTGGATCTTTATGTGTCTAAGCCAGGCAAACAGGCCGTCATCTCTTTGGTAATTTATAGAGAGCAGCTATCCACAGACATAATTCACTGGGTTTTTCCATGGCAGCTTTCCATGAGTGTCCGCCTGGATGTGAAAGCCCTGCTGCTCTGAGATCAATCAATGAGGACATACCAATGGTGATAAAGCATCTCTGAGTTTCAATTACACCGAGTTTGCATCAAAAACTGCTGCTTAATGAAATAATATCATTCTGAGCCACTTTAACTAAACCAGCAGAAAAACAAAACGCATTGTGATGGTATCAGATGATAAAACTGGTACTTTGAGATATGTCTCATTGTACGGAATATTATATTTGCACAGGTACTTCAAAGAATGCCATGGTATTACCATGCCAGATTTTTAGGTCATATTGGGTTTAAAACTGCAGAAGAAAAAAGCTTGCATGAAGAAAAAAGCTTGCATGTTTTCTTCTTATAAAGAACAACAAACAGCTGTTCCAGAATCTTACCACCCAGTGTGAGAAGATGGATATATCCTTCCTGACAGAGTTGCCTGAGGTACAACACAAACCCCAGCAGTCAATACCACATCTTTTACACTGTAGGGGGGCCAGATATTTTCTTCTTTTCATTAATATATGATAAAATAATGTGCTAAATGCCTTCAGTGTACTAGTTGTTCATGATTTGCACACCAAGCTGACAGTTTAATATTATGCATTTTTTATATTTATGTATATGTACACTACTGTTCAACATTTTTGGGGTCAATAGAATTTATTTACTTTTTTTAAGAAACATGACGGTCTTTTTGTTTTGTTTTGTTTTGTTTTGACACAGTGATCTTTATCTGGAAACTTAATACTGAATCAGTGTGCATTAAAATGAAACAACATAGTAACATAGTCCCTATTGTCACAATTTTCCTCAGAATGTCATTCAAGACGCCAAGAAAAAAAGTCTATAATCTCTTAGACGGTTTGTGCTGTCATTAGAAAAAGTCAAGTTCAAGTTAAATTTCCTTTTATGGGAATCCGGTTGTTCACATCCAGACTCAACAGCTTATTCTTATACTAAATAACATCACAAATCGTTTGAAATTAATTCGCGCTTACCTTAAGCCAGATAATGCGTCAGCATATCCAGGGAATGTTAAATTCATGCAGGGTTTAACACTATCATACACTCTGTCCCAGCATCAGCGTTCTGAGCGCGCTATTAAACACCCGGAACATACCATCACAACCTGAGAAAAAGGGGTGTGGGTCCAACCAAAACGAGACCTGACTTTAGCATACGAACGTGAAGGCTAAATACACGGATATGTTCCAAGAATCGACTGACAGTATGGAAAGATTACGTGTACATGATATTCAAGGATAAATTAACAGAAAGGGCCAGGAATAATTTCAAAAGGTCCCATATTTTCAAACATATGTGTGCAACAACAACAACTATTATTATTATTGATTTCAATTTGATTTAGACCAAATATATTTTTTAACAAAATTGCATAGAAGTCAGACTGTTATTGTGAAAAGCGACTCATGTACACTAACCCGGATGTTGTTTATTTACTGCGTTTCAGCAGCAGGGGGCTGCAAATATCCTAATTATTTAATGTACTTCTGCATGGTTGTATCCTGTAAAGTTGTAACTGGATTGTTTTTTGCTCTGTTTTTATTCTGCTGGCGGTGTCTTGAGCATTTCTTGGTGTTAACGTGTGTTACCTTAGTGTTTGACCTTAATATAGACACACTTGCTAACAGGTACTGAATGCTAACTGGCTTTTTCTATATTTACATAAGTTGACTCTTCCCATAATAGTATTTTGACCCGATTGTGGCATGTTAAACTGTTCTAAAATATGATTTCTTATGATTAAGTTGCCCAGGTTGAGTTATATGCATTAGTTATGCATAATATGTATATTTATATTAGCCTACAAATTAATATAATGACTATTTATATTATTTTCATTATAGAATACCTTTTTTACAAACAAAAAAATATATCGCATATCTGTTCAGTAACTTTTTGGATTAGGTACTATGTCTGCCAGCGACCTCCTTACCAGAAAACAAGGAGTGACCAAGTTTAGTATATATGGGCAGCAGATTTTTTGGTTTCTATGCTCAGAATGCTTTCCAAGAATGAAGCAATATTTTTCTCTTTTTTTCTCTATGTAGGCAGAAATCAACAACATGCACCATCATTTCTTGACAACTTTCTTAATGTGTCTCTGTGTTCAGGTGCTTTAACCAGGTGAATGTTGGGAGTTCGAGCCCTGTTTGGAATCGGTCTTCTTGTGACATCACGAGGAGGCTCTGTCCTGACCCATACAGGCGCATGTGCACATGTTGCCAGTAACATCTACAGTAAAGACCTCGCTCACAGACAGGCTTGCACTATGGCCAATACAATCAAGTACTTGGGGTGAGTGTAAAGGCACTGCACTCTCTCTAACATTATTAGTATTGTTGCATGTCAGTCATCATTTGTCAGTGGTACAGTTAGTCCATAATATGATCAAACATTACTGTTGTGAATGTCAGTAATTGTCTTTCTGGCATTTGAGTTTTGCTTCAAAGGTTATTGTACTAATGGTGGACAAGATCTTAGCTCTGAAGCATTGTTATTTTTATCATTGCGATACTATTTTTAATTATATTTTTAATTAGTTTTTAAGTAACAAAAATGATTTTAGTTAACTATAGTAACCCTTCATTGAAGATTCGTTATATTGCATTGTTCGCTATTAAAATTTGATTAAAAAAATGTACTCACCCTCAGGCCATCCAAGATGTAGTTTGTTTCTTCATCAAAACAGATTTTGGGAAATTTAGCATAACATCACTCGCTCACCAGTGGATCCTCTGCAGTGAATGGGTGCCGTCAGAATGAGAGTCCAAACGGCTGATAAAAACATCTCAATAATCCACAAGTAATCCACGCTGGACTCCAGTCCATCAATTAACATCTTGCATGTTTGTGAGAAACAAATCCATCAAGACATTTTAACTTTATACGTTTCCAGTGAAAAGTCCTTTTGTCCTCTCACATCAAAATCCACTGACATATTTGTTTAGAACTGTTTTGGGCTGTTTGATCTGTGCATATTTCTGTCCTGATTCAGACTAGATGACTTTTTCATTGGAGAAAGTAATATTATGGATGAGGATTGCACTATGGCCAATACAATCAAGTACTTGGGGTGAGTGTAAAGGCACTGCACTCTCTCTAACATTATTAGTATTGTTGCATGTCAGTCATCATTTGTCAGTGGTACAGTTAGTCCATAATATGATCAAACATTACTGTTGTGAATGTCAGTAATTGTCTTTCTGGCATTTGAGTTTTGCTTCAAAGGTTATTGTACTAATGGTGGACAAGATCTTAGCTCTGAAGCATTGTTATTTTTATCATTGCGATACTATTTTTAATTATATTTTTAATTAGTTTTTAAGTAACAAAAATGATTTTAGTTAACTATAGTAACCCTTCATTGAAGATTCGTTATATTGCATTGTTCGCTATTAAAATTTGATTAAAAAAATGTACTCACCCTCAGGCCATCCAAGATGTAGTTTGTTTCTTCATCAAAACAGATTTTGGGAAATTTAGCATAACATCACTCGCTCACCAGTGGATCCTCTGCAGTGAATGGGTGCCGTCAGAATGAGAGTCCAAACGGCTGATAAAAACATCTCAATAATCCACAAGTAATCCACGCTGGACTCCAGTCCATCAATTAACATCTTGCATGTTTGTGAGAAACAAATCCATCAAGACATTTTAACTTTAAACGTTTCCAGTTGTCCTCTCACATCAAAATCCACTGACATATTTGTTTAGAACTGTTTTGGGCTGTTTGATCTGTGCATATTTCTGTCCTGATTCAGACTAGATGACTTTTTCATTGGAGAAAGTAATATTATGGATGAGGACTTTTATTTTAGCCAGAAGCAAAAGATTGAAGTTAAAAAATCTTTTAATGATTAATCTGTTAAACACACAGATTTCGCTTCATACGATGTTAATTGATGGACTGGAGTGGTGTGGATTACTTGTTGGATCATTGTGGTGGTTTTTGTGGACTCTCATTCTGACGGCACCCATTCACTGCAGAGGATCCATTGGTGAGCAAGTGATGTAATGATACATTTCTCCAAATCTGTTCTGATGAAGAAACAAACTCATCTACATCTTGGATGACCTGAGGGTGCATATATTTTCAACAAATTTTGATATTTGGGTGAACTATTCCTTTTAAGTGATGTATGTATTCCCTTAGTTCCTGGCACAAACATAATGAATGTTTGTATTTAATCTTTCTTTCATAGGCAAGAAGAGGCTCAGCACATTGATGAGGAGCTGTTCAATGAGTACAGCTTCAGTGTGGATCAGTTAATGGAGCTGGCCGGTCTGAGCTGTGCCACAGCTGTGTCAAAGGTACATCTGATGCTCCATCAACATGCTGAAAGGATCAAATACAGCTATGTGGTGCATCATACTCATTAAAAGCAGTTGTTTGCTTCATAGGGCTATCCTCTACAATCACTGCTCAAGAGTCCACCTAGAGTTTTGGTGATCTGTGGGCCAGGAAATAATGGTGGAGATGGGTTGGTTTGTGCTCGACATCTCAAACTGTTTGTGAGTTCATTTTATAGCTGAAAATAACCTTGCTGCACCTGTTTAAAATCGTTCCTTCATTAAACCTAATATTTTATGAAGGTGTATTGACTTATGCACTTATATTGCATGTGAATCTCCCAGGGATATGCACCTTCAGTATTGTACCCAAAGCGCCCCAACAAACAGCTGTTCCAGAATCTTACCACCCAGTGTGAGAAGATGGATATATCCTTCCTGACAGAGTTGCCTGAGGTACAACACAAACCCCAGCAGTCAATACCACATCTTTTACACTGTAGGGGGGCCAGATATTTTCTTCTTTTCATTAATATATGATAAAATAATGTGCTAAATGCCTTCAGTGTACTAGTTGTTCATGATTTGCACACCCAGCTGACAGTTTAATATTATGTATTTTTTATATTTATATTTATATTTTTGTATATGTACACTACCGTTCAATAGTTTGGGGTCAATAGAATTTTTTTTTTTTAAGAAATTTACTTTCTTATCCAACATGGATGCATTAAATTGCTCAAATGTGACTTTAAAGGGGTCATATGATGCGATTTCAAGTTTTCCTTTCTCTTTGGAGTGTTACAAGCTGATTGTGCATAGATAAGATCCCTGAAGTTGCAAAGACTAAAGTCTCAAAACCAAAGAGATATTCTTTATCAAAGTTAAGATTCTGCCACGCCCCCCTAAAACAGCTCATTCTAACACGCCCCCACATATCTACCTCACTATGTGGAAATATTAGCATAATGCGCCCAAATGTTCACGCAAAGAAAGAAGGCGTGGTTTCAGTAACCGCAGTTAGTGTTGAAGCAGCCATGTCAGGGAGACCCTGTGTGTTTCAAGGCGAAAGCAAAAACACTTTATTTGGCCTTCTGAAAGTAGATGCATTTAGGAATCTTTAAGATTACTTACAACAGAACAGCAATGCATTTTATGGACGACCGTTTCGTGAACCTAGGAGATGAGGTCATTCTGACTTTGCTATGACAATCTGGCACTTCTGAATCAGCTACTGTTTTGTTATTAGTTTAAGTATTTGCTATTGACTGTTCAAATGCGGAGTTTTGCGCATTATATGTGTGTGTGTGTGTATGCGCGTGTGTGTGTGAGAGAGAGAGAGAGAGCGATCACAGTGGAGTCAGCTGTCTTAACCGTGGCTTGTGTACTGCACACATACCAGCTTCATCACTGTGTCTGTCACGCAACTCTGTTTCCCTTTTGGGCTCTTTATATTTATTTTGAAAGATGAAGCTCGCGTGGAGCATGGCTGTCCTGATGGGTTTCAGCCTGACATGCTCATCTCCCTCACAGCCCCTAAGAAAGCAGCCAATCACTTCAAAGGACGCTACCACTTCCTGGGAGGACGATTTGTTCCTCCTGCACTTGAGAAGAAGTTCCAGCTGAATCTGCCTCCATACCCAGACACTGATTGTGTGTATCAACTGAACTGAGCATTAAGCCCTTCGTGTCACTTTTGTGTCACTAATCAACAAAAAAAACACCATGGGTTATAACTTTGATTTACCACTCTGAATACTTCTTCCACTTTCATGTAATGGGCAGATATAGAATTGATTAATCAGCATCAGTCAATAATTGCGAAACTCCTTATTGCCAAGCATTGCTACCGAATGTTTCAAAGGAATCACTCGAATTAGTTATGTATGAATTTATAAAAACCTCTAATTAATATATATTTAATTAAAGTTTTTGATAGTTATGGATTTAATGACTAAGCCTGAATAATTACTGCATTATTGTTTTGTGTTTAAATATATTTATGTTACATATTTACATATGGAAATGTGTAACATTTCAGATGGCTTAAAAATAAAAAATACATAAATAAAGCTACAGCTGTATGTTAATGAATATTTTTATAGACAAACAAGTCAGCACACACTTGAGCAGATGTGTAGAGCAAAGAAATGAAGTCCCACACGTTGATGTAGCTTGCATAAAATTCCTTATATTTATTACAACAGCACCTTTTTTTGTGCCTGAATAAGGACTTAAGACTAAAATATTGCTGTTTCAGTTAATATAATGAATTTTGCAAGTGGCAGCATGCAGTGTACAGAGCTTCTTCCTGTTTTTATAATGAATATGAAATTATTTGCTTCGACGAAAGAACTCAGATCTCACCCTTTTGGAAAATAAACGATCCATAAGCCATAGATTCCTTCCATGAGAAATGTATCACTGTAAAAAGACATTCTACACTGTATATTTTCAATGTATTATAGATCAGCCCAAAATATTATTTACTCTCTTGTAAAGATTGAGGAGTTTATATTTTTATCTATAATTTATAGACACGATGTCTGTACTGAAATAGAAATTTTGTTCATTTCACACCATATAAATAGCTTTATAATACAGCACAACCCGTTTGTGTTTCTTCCAAAGTAATTTACATTCATGTCTAGTCATAATTACAAAGAACACAACTTATTTTAATCTTACATTATCAGTTCCAATTGTTTACATCTTTTAAAAGTAAAAAACAAGCAACAAAACAATAACGCTAAAAAACGCTGGTCCCCTCTTTATTTTGCTCACTGATATGGCATCCAGTGAGGGTCAAGCATGAAGAAATGCCTCCATGCAGGTATGACGGGATCCATGTCACAGGTAAATGTCTTTGTTTTGCTCTTGATGCCTTTGTCTGAATGTTCATTCATCTGTTCAGGAGCTGTTACAGCAAGACCATCTCTCCTCATTAAACTCGCTGGAGGGGCCCAGAGTCACTGCGCTGATCGAACCTCTGGTGACCTCTTTACTAGCAACCTTCTTGTGTATTGCTGATGGAGGAAACATAAATGAACATTGTCTTCATGCATTTAAAGTCAGATAAAGTCAAAAATATAGGGTCATAAGAGTCAATTTTTTCGAAAATTGAGATTTATACATAATCTGAAAGCTGAATAAATAAGCTTTCCATTGATGGATAGGACAATATTTGTCCGAGATACAACTATTTGAAAATCTGGAATCTGAGGGTGCAAAAAAAAATCTAAATATTGAGAAAATTGCCTTTAAAGTTGTCCAAATGAAGTTCTTAGCAATGCACATTACTAATCAAAAATTAAGTTTTGATATATTTACAGTGGGAAATTTACAAAATATCTTCATGGAACATGATCTTTACTTAATATCCTAATGATTTTTGGCATAAAAAAATCAATAATTTTGACCCATTCAATGTATTTTTGGCTATTGCTACAAATATACCCCAGCGACTTAAGACTGGTTTTGTGCTCCAGGGTCACATATGTGCCATACATATACTAGTGACCAAAAGTTTGGAATAATTAGGATTTTTAAATTATTTTTAAAGACGTCACTTATGCTCAATAGGGCTGCATTTATTTGATTAAAAAAAAACGAATAGTAATATTGTGAAATATTATTACAATTTAAAATAACTGTTTCTATTTGAATATTTTTTCAAATGTAATTCATTCCTGTGAATTCAGCATCATTACTCCAGTCTTCAGTGTCACTTGATCCTTCAGAAATCATTCTAATATGCTGATTTGCTGCTCAATTATTAATGATGCTTATTATCATCAGTGTTGAAAGCCGTTGTGCTGATTACTATTTTTGTGGAAACCATAGTTCATTGTTTTCAGGAATCTTTGATGAACAAGAAAGTTCAAAAGAACAGCATTTATTTTAAATAGAAATCTTTTGTAACATTATAAATGGTTCTACTGTCACCCTTGATTAATTTAATACATCCTTGCTAAAAAGAAGTATTAATTGTTTTGTGTTTTTCATACTGACTCTAAAAATTTGAATGGTAGTGTAACATAGTTTCCATAAGAATATTAAGCAGCAAAAACTGTTTATGACATTGATAATAAGTTTCTTGCACCGCAAATCAGCATATTAGAATGATTTCTGAAGGATCATGTGACTCTGAAGACTAGAGTAATGATGCTGAAAAATCAGCTTCGCATCACAGGAATAAACTACATTTGAACATTTTAAAATAGAAAGCAGTGCTTTTATTAATGTACGTTTTGTTACGTTACGTTTATTACGTTTTATTTTATTACGTTCTTGTTTCACAATATCACTGTTTTTACTCTTGATCAAACAAATGCAGTCTTGGTGAGCATAAGAGATGACTTTATCTTTCAAAAGCAATAAAAAATTCGTAATTAATCCAAACTTTTGGCTGTCAGCGTAAATCTCGTAAAATTTTGCTGTGCTTATGTTAATCAGTGACTTGAAGTAAAAAGAAAACTCACCTGTTAGAACTTCAAGGAAGGCAGATTCAACATTAGTTGACTCTAATGCAGAGGTCTCCATAAAAAGCAAGCCTTTGGCCTCTGTTTTATCAAATAAATAAACAATACTTTTACAAATAAATGGTTAATCCTTTAACAACATATGAGATGAGTATGTCTTAAAGGCAAAGCTCATTCAAAAATGAAAATTCTTAATGAAAATTCCTGTGTGCCATTCATTCTTCTGTGGAACACAAAAGGAGATATTTTGAAGAATCTAGACAATATTACACCCCACTGACTTTCATTGTATGTACCAAAAAAAAAAAATTCTAAATATTGTTTTGTGTTCTGCAGAAGAAAGAAAGTCGGAACAACATGAGGGTGAGTAAATGATGACACAAATTTTGGTGACCTTTCTCTTTAAGGGTTCAAATGTCTGAAACAAAGAGTTATGAAATGCATTGACACCTGCAAAGACCTTAGCCTCCTCTGTTGGCACAGTGCGTACATTTAACAGGTCACTTTTATTTCCCACAAGCATGACTACTATATGAGGATCAGCATGGTCATACAGTTCCTTTAGCCATCGCTCGACGTTCTCATATGTCAGGTGCTTGGTGATGTCATAAACCAGCAGCGCACCCACGGCTCCCCTGTAATACCTACAAGAGACAAAAACTACTCATTATTACATATGCAGAAACAGGAAGTGGATATTAACTCAGATCGTGCTTTATTATGATTCATTATTGTGTTTACAGTGATGAGAAAGGTCCTTTTTTCATAATCATAATCACTATCATATCTCTTTTCACAGGTATTCATCTACAATACCATTCAAAAGGTTGGGGTCAGTAAATATTTAAGAAGTGAATACTTTTATTCAACAAGAATGTATTAAACTGATAAAAAAGTGACAGTAAAGAAATGTATAATATAATAAAAAAGTACATTTCAAATAAAGCATGTTCTTTTGAACTTTCTATTCATCAAAGAATCCTGAACAACAATATTAAACAAAACTATTTTCAATATTATTGATAATAATGAGAACTGTTTCTTGAGCAGCAAATCAGCATATTTCTGAAGGATCATGTGACACTGAAGACTGGAGTAGG